GGACCTCAGTCTTTTGGGGAAACAGGCTGAAGAGGATTCCCATGGGGTTGGGGTATTCTGATCCCTACAGCATCTGGGAAATGGAGTGGATGACGCAAAATAGATGGTCCGTGCTGTGGTAGATAATGTGTGCTGGCAAATGTCTCTGGACCAAAAGACCTTGGTACTGAAATAACTTCAGGGCTACGTGGCGTGGCGGGCAGCATTCACAGCTGGGTGCATGAAAGTAGCATTCTTTGAAGATGTAGTTCCAGCAGTTAGGAAATGGAGAAGCTGGAATGAACGTGTGTATCTATTTGGGGCAGTGTACAGAGGAAGATATTGGTGAGTTGTCAGTGTTACTTTGATACCAATATTGGGCAAAGTGGAGAATGAGTTGCTGAATGATTGCAAACAGTATTGAGTGCTTGGTCAGCAATGTCCTGTTTATGATAGACATTACACCTCGAGGCTAGTGCTACTGAGGAAGTGGACATGTATGTAGCTGTGGTGATAAGACATGACAGTGTGGGATTAACACATGATGAAAAGACTAGAGCTTCATCAAATCCTTCAGCAAATTGTACTTGCCCTTCTCAGCCTAGAAAAGGATTTCTAAGGAAGACAAACTGTTCCTCGTAGTTTCCGTGTTGTCTAGCTTTATTTTAATGGTAAAAGTGACTTACTTTAAAAAATGTATATGTATACACACAAATATGTATGCAAATATGTGTGTGCTCAAATTACCTTTCACAGGTACATGAGTGGAAAAACTCAGTTCTGTGAAATGAAAACTTACTCTATTATATGTAAAAATTGTTTGAAACCACAACACTAACCCTTATTGAAGGCAAAGTGTAGATATTAGAAGAAATGACTAAAATACAGATCAAATGTGTCAGGTATCAGGTCATGCACCAAAATGGAAAGCTAGTTTTGAGAAGTTATTCAGAAGCCTTGCTGTTTTAAAAGCTGGAAGTGTTTCAAAGGCTTATTCCTAATAATAATTAATTGCCCCCGTTTAATTGTGAGGGAATAAAATTTAGATCACAAGAGCTGCATTTCACAATATTTGCCTAACTATATACAAAAGACAAAGATATTTGCTTGTTCTCCAAAAGAGGGCAACATTAGAAAGAAAACTCACTTCAGTTTTGAACAATTGAATGTATATTACTTAAGAAGAAGCTCTTTAAATCAGTGCACCTTTTCTGTGGTACAGCAAACAATTGCTTTACCAGTGAAAAGGTGCATTGATTTAACAGCCAAAAAAGAGATATAGTTCTTAATATTTCATGAAACAGCCCTAATCCTGTCAGTTGTTTTCATTACAGATTTTATAGTTGCCTTTCTGACCACTTCTTAGCAGTCTGAGAAAATATACTGTTATTTACTATTAAAAAAAAAACAATTTTACGGAAATCAGTCCATCAGATCAAGAGGAATCCTAATGCATTTTCCTCTGAAAGGGATGTGAGAAATGTAAATTTTGTAACAGTATTATTTATCTTCCTTTACTTATAATAGCATGTCATGTCAATTTCATGTGATTAGTTAAAAACTTTTTCCTCTTACTGTTCCAGAAACAAAACAAAACAAAAACCTGGTCTGGCACAGGGAGGAGTCAAGGAAGGCTTCTCTGAAGAAGAGACAACTAAAATGATAATCCAAAGCCTTAAATTTGCGAAGTTAAGCAGAATACTCTGGGTAGAGATGAGCATGTGCACTAGCCTTAGGACAAGAAGAAACATTGTTGAATAAGTGCTGCTGGGGCACTGGGAGAAAGACAAAATACAGTGTGAGAGGCTGTGAGGGAGACCAGGATGGAACATCCAGAGAGACTAAAGGAATACCTGGAGAATGAATGAGTCAGGAGGAGAGTTTCAAGAAGGATGAACATTCTGAAATGTTACTAAAAGAGCAAATACTATGAGAATGGGAAAATCTTGTTAGATTTAGGAGCATAGTAGGGTTATGGGTGAGATATTAGCAAGAGCAGTTTTGATGGAGTGATGGGGACTAAAGCTAAATTGGAATGGATTGAGAAGTGAGGAGTCAGTGAAAAGGTTGACTTGAAGATGGAGGAGAAAGAAATTGGTGGCTGGAGAGAGAAAGAATTGAGGGAAAGAATTTAAAATTTTTGCTTATTTATTTAATGGGAAAGTCTTAAGCCCTGTTAAAAGCTGTGGGAGGAATTATTGAGAAGAGATGTTGATTATATGAGAGAGAGAAGGGCTCATCAATGATTTATGGTTCCTAAAATGGCAGGAGATAATAGAATCTAAGGCAGAGGATTGGCCTTAGATAATGGAGAGAAATCTCCTCTTGGAACTGGAATGAACTAGAATGAACTATGTATAAGGAAAAGATTGTATGGTTTCTATTTTATCTGTGACATAGGAGATACGTAATCCACTGAGTGAAGGAGTCTGAGGTGGGTTGGGGTTCAGAATAGAGGCAAGAGTAAGGCCCATTTGGAGTTAGTGTTCATGATTGTTTTGTTTTGTTGTTTTTGGCTGTGTTGGGTCTTGTTGCCGCTCGTGGGCTTTCTCTAGTTGCTTCGAGCGGGGGCTGCTCTTCGTTGTGGTGTGAGGGCTTCTCATTGCAGTGGCTTCTCTTGGTGTGGAGCACGGGCTTCAGTAATTGGAGCCCGCAGGTTCAGTAGTTGTGGTTCGCGGGCTCTAGAGCGCAGGCTTAGTAGCTGTGGTGCACAGGGCTTAGTTGCTCCGCGGCATGTGGGATCTTCCTGGACCAGGGCCTGTGGTGCACAGGGCTTAGTTGCTCCGCGGCATGTGGGATCTTCCTGGACCAGGGCTTGAACCCGTGTCCCCTGCATTGGCAGGCGGATTCTTTTTTTTTTTTTTTTTTTTTTATTTTATTTATTTACTTTTGGCTGCATTGGGTCTTTTTTGCTGCGTGTGGGCTTTCTTTAGTTGCAGCGAGCAGGGGCTACTCTTCATTGTGGTGCTCTGGCTTCTCATTGTGGTGGCTTCTCTTGTTGCGGAGCTCAGGCTCTAGGTGCGCGGGCTTCAGTAGTTGTGGCACACTGGCTCAGTAGTTGTGGCTCACAGGCTATAGAGCACAGGCTCAGTAGCTGCGGCGCATGGGCTTAGTTGTTCCACAGCATGTGGGATCTTCCCGGACCAGGGCTCGAACCCATGACCCCTGCATTGGCAGGCAGATTCCTAACCACTGCGCCACCAGGGAAGCCCGGCAGGCGGATTCTTAACCACTGTGCCACCAAGGAGGTCCCAGTGTTCATGAATTTTTAGTGGAACATATCTGCCCTATCTCATGACTTTTTCCAATACGATTTGGTGTCATAGGTATAAGCTTGGAGAAAAGAAATTCATCAGGCTTGTTTTTTTGCCAGACAGGTGAGTTTAGGCTTTTAGTCAAGGATGCTGTTGAGGGAATTCTCCGGCGATCCAGTGGTTAGGACTCCACGCTTCCACTGCAGGGGGCACGGGTTCGATCCCTGGTTGGGGAACGAAGATCCTGCAAGCTGCATGACGTGGCCTCCCCCACCCCAAAAAAAAGAATACTGTTGAAATGATGGACCAAAGCTTGATGAGAGAAGTGAAGAAAGAAAAAGTCTAATAGACTGGGAAAAAGCATATGTAAAGGAGAGAGCTGAATTTTGCTGTGCCATGTTATTGAGCTATAGTTCCCATACCATAAAATTACCCTTTAAAGTATACAGTTGAGTGGTTTTTAGTCTTTTTTAGCTTTGCAGTCATCACCATTATCTAATTCCAGAACATTTTCACCACCCCAAAAGAAAATCCTGTACCCATTAAGAGTCATTCCTTAATACTGCCTTCTCGTGGCAACCACTAATCTACTTTCTGTATTGATTTGCCTGTTCTGGACATTTCATATTAATGGAATCATAATGTGTGACCTTTTGTATCTGACTTATCTTTCTTAACATAATGGTTTCAAGGTTCATCCGTGTGGTGGCATGTATCATTACTTCCTTTTCATGACACAATAATCTGTCTTATGGATATATCACATTTTATGTATCTATCATTTGATGGACATTTGTATTATTTCCACTTTTTGGCCATTATTAATAATGCTACTGTGAATACTTATGTGCAAGTTTTGGTATGACCACACATTTTAATTTCTCTTGGGTATATACCTAGGAATGGAATTGCTAGGTCATATGGTAACTCTGTGTTTAGCAATTTGAGGAACTGCCAAAGTGTTTTCCAAAGTGGCTGCACCATTTTACATTCCTACTGGCAATATATGAGGGTTCTAATTTCTTCACATCATCACCAACACCTTTTTGGTTATAGCTATCCTACTGGGTGTGTTGGGTACCTTTTAAAACTTTTTTATTTAGGCAAGTAATACATGAATTTTTCTTATAAAACATTAGCGTTATATAAATCAGGCTAAAACCCCTATGACCTTCACCTTGGCCAGTTCCTATACCTTATCTAGAAGGAACAGTTGTTTTCATTTTGATGTATGTATTTTTCCGGAATTAAAAAAATTCTCAGTGTAGATAGTCCTATATAGTCTTCTTACATTAATCCATCTGTTTTCATAAAAACTCAGTAATAAATGATATTAGTTTTTTTCCCTTTCCAACCTCTAACTGTAGAATGTAACATCTTTTAAAAATTACAACATCATTAGTAAAAATCGTATCAAAGGGCTTCCCTGGTGGCGCAGTGGTTGAGAGTCCACCTGCTGATGCAGGGGACGTGGGTTCGTGTCCCAGTCCGGGAAGATCCCACATGCCACGGAGCGGCTGGGCCCATGAGCCACGGCCGCTGAGCCTGCGCGTCCGGAGCCTGTGCTCCGCAACGGGAGAGGCCACAATGGTGAGAGGCCCGCGTACTGCAAAAAAAAAAAAAAATCATATCAAAGAAGCAAATGAAGTACATGCCTATAGATAAAGCCTTAATGTCCTGTATATTAGGGCTTTTTAAATGACAGCTATTGGTCTTCATGTATTGAAACTTTATCAGTAAAACTAATAATTTTTTTCTTGTTTTTAGTGCCTGGCTCTCTGGCTATGAAAACCCTGTGGTGTCTCGAATTAATATGAGAATACAAGATCTCACAGGACTAGATGTCTCCACAGCAGAGGAATTACAGGTAGGTAATCACATCCTACACTTCTTCAAAAGATGCTTCAGATGAGATTTTTTTCTGTCACTATACAGGCAGTACTCAATTTGCATGATACTTTGAGACTGTAAAAGTGAATATATAAGCTGAAACATGTACAGTGATCTTAATAATCAGTAGGAAAAATTGTTCTGTGACCTTTAAAATTTTTTGTCAAGACATTAAAAACTCTTACTGTTGAGTATAAATGTATAGGGAAATGAAAAATATGTAACACTAGTATTTATTAAGTACACTGTGATTTTTTTTTTCATTCCTAGGCCTGTCAGGTGGCCATGGCAGGTTTTTTTTTAATAAATTATTTTTTTCTGTTTTCTAGTAAGAAATAATTCACATACCATAAAATTTACCCTGGTTTTAATATTCATATGATTGTACAATCATCAACACTATTTTCATCACCTCCAAAGAAACCTCAGTTAAGTAGTCACTCTCCATTCCCCCTCCCTAGTGCCCCTGGCAACTGCTTCTCTACCTTCTCTATGTAAGTTTGCCTATTCTAAATATTTCATATAAATGGAGTAATACAATATGTGGCCTAGTGTATCTGGCTTATTTCATTTGACAATGTTTTTAAGGTATATCCATGTTGTAGAATGTATCAGCACTTTATTCTTTTTCATGGCTGAATAATATTAACATTCTCTTGTTTGGATATACCACGTTTTATTTATTTATCAGTTGGAGGGCTTTTGGATTGTTTCCACTCCTTGGCTATTATGACTAATGCTATTTGTCTACAAATTTTCGTACAAACGTCATTTAAATTTCTCTTGGGTATAAACCTACATATGTATTTGCTGGGTCATGTGGTAACTTTAATATTTGAGGAACTGCCAAACTTTTCCAGAATGGCTGCACTGTTTTACAATCCCATTGGCAATGTATGAGGGTTCCATTTTCTTCACATCCTTGCCAACACTTGTTCTTGTCCAGTTTTTTTATTAAGGTCATTCTGGTATGTTTGAAGTGCTATCTCATCATGGTTCTTATTTGCGTTTCCCTGATGGCTAATGATGTGGAGTATCTTTTTATGAGTTATTGGCCATTTTTTTAAAAATTTATTTATTTTATTTATTTTTGGTTCTGTTCAGTCTTCGTTGCTACATGTAGGCTTTCTCTAGTTGCAGAGAGCAGGGGCTACTCTTCATTGTGGTGCATGGGCTTCTCGTTGCGGTGGCTTCTTTTGTTGCGGAGCATGGGCTCTAGGCGCTTGGGCTTCAGTAGTTGCAGCACGCAAGCTCAGTAGTTGTGGCTCGTGGGCTCTAGCACGTGGGCTCAGCAGTTGTGGCTCACGGGCTCTAGAGCCAGGCTTAGTAGTTGTGGCGCACGGGCTTAGTTGCTACATGGCATGTGGGATCCTCCCGGACCAGGGATTGAACCCATGTCCCCTGCATTGGCAGGCAGACTCTCAACCACAGTGCCACCATGGAAGCCCCAGCCATTTTTATATCTTTGAAAAAATTTCTATTCAAATCCTTTGCCTATTTTTTATTGGGTTGTTTTTATTGTTGAGTTGTGTTATTTATGTGTTCTGAATACTTGACCCATATTAGGTGTATGGGTTGCAAATATTTTCTCCCGTTCTGTGGTGTGTCTTTCACTTTCTTGATGGTGTCCTTTGGCAAAATATTTTTAATTTCTATGAAGTCTGATAGGTCTTTTTTTTGGTTGTTTGGCTTAAGGTGTTTAAGAAACCATTGCCTAATCCAAGGACATAAAGATTTACACCTGTGGTTTTTCCTACAATTTTTATGGTTTTCTTTCTTACATTCAGGTCTTTGATCCATTTTGAGTCAATTTTTATATATGGTGTAAGATAGAGGTCCAACTTCATTCTTTTCATGTGGTTAGCCAATCGTCCCAGCATCATTTGTTGAAAACTAGTCTTCTCTATTGAATTGTCTCAGTATTATAAAATATTAGAAATATTGAGGATTACAGTGTTTTATTTCTTTGTAAACACTTACCAAGAATAGTTTATGTTCCTTCATCTCATTTGTGAAACTTATGATACAGAGTGAGCATCTTTTCTCTTCCTTCGCAAATTGTCATACTTCTAAGTTTGGATCAGCTTTCAACATTTTCTCCTTTGTGCTTTCAATGTTGTTAAATATCTCTGAGGGATCTTTTATTGTCGATTTTTTTCCAGTCACTTCCTCTAAGACATCTTCTTCATCCTTTTCATCATGATCACTTTCCTTATGTTAGTAAGTTTACCTTCACCACATTCCTCTGACCGCGTATCTAGAGTTTCTCAAACAGCAAAAGTTAGAAGCATTTTCCTTGTCAGCCTTTTCTTCTGTGTCTGCATTTAAGTCTGATTTCTTTTTTGGCGGGGGTGGGGGGGGTGGGGGATGGAGGAGGGGGGCTCAGCATGAGGGGTTTTTTTTAGTATTGGAGTATAGTTGATTTACAATGTTGTGTTAGTTTCAGGTGTACAGCAAAGTGATTTAGTTATACATATATGTATATCTATTCTTTTTCAGATTCTTTCCCCATATAGGTTATCACAGAGTACCAAGTAGATTTCCCTGTGCTATACAGTATGTCCTTATTAGTTATCTATTTTATATATAGTAGTGTGTATATGTTAATCCCAAGTTCCTAATTTATTCTCCCCCTGACCTTTCCCCTTGGTAACCATAAGTTTGTTTCTGAAGTCTGCCAGTCTGTTTCTGTTTTGTAAATAAGTTCATTTGTATCATTTTTAGATTCCATGTACAGTGATCATATGCTGTTTGTCTTTCTCTGACTTCATTTAGTATGACAGTCTCTAGGTCCATCCATGTTGCTGCAAGTGGCATTATTTCATACCTTTTTTTATGGCTGAGTAAAATTCCACTGATACATGTACCACATCTCCTTTATCTATTCCTCTGTTGATGGACATTTAGGTTGCTTCCTAAGTGCCCAGGAGTGGGATTGCTGGATCATACGGTAGCTCTATTTTTAGTTTTTTAAGGAACCTCCATACTGTTCTCCATAGTGGCACCACCAATTTACATTCCCACCAACAGCATAGGAGGGTTCTCTTTTCTGCACACCCTCTTTAGCATTTATTGTTTGTAGACTTTTTGATGATGGCCATTCTGACCAGTGTGAGGTCATACCTTCGTAATTTTCTTGTTTCTAGTTGTGGCCCTTTGTTTTCTTCCTAGAGAAGTTCCTTTAGCAGTTGTTGTAAAGCTGTTCTGGTGGTGCTGAGTTCTTTTTAGCTTTTGCTTATCTGTAAATCTTGTGATTTCTCCATTGAATCTGAACAAGAGCCTTGCTGGGTAGAGTGTTTTTGACTGTAGTTCTTTCCTTTTCATCACTTTAGATATATTGTGCCACTCCCTTCTGGCCTAAAGAGTGTCTGCTGAAAAATCAGCTGATAACCTTATGGGGATTCCTTTGTATGTTACTTGTTGCTTTCCCCTTGTTGCTTTTAATATTTTCTTTTTAATATTTGTTGGTATGATTAATATGTGTCTCAGCATGCCCCTCCTTGGGTTTATCCTGTATGGGACCCTCTGCTTCCTGGACTTGGGTGACTGTTTCCTTTCCCATATTAGGGAAAGTCTTCCCCTACTATCTCCTCAAATATTTCCTAAGGTCCTTTCTCTCTCTCTTCTCCTTCTGGGACCCCCTATAATGTGAACGTTGGTGCATTTAATGTTGTCCCAGAGGTCTTTTATACTGTCTTCATTTCTTTTCATTCTTTATTCCTTTCCACGGCAGTGATTTCCACCATTCTGTCTTCCAGCTCACTTATCCATTCTTCTGCCTCATTTATTCGGCTATTGATTCCTTCTGGTTATTATTTCAGCTATTGATTCCTTCTGGTTATTATTTCGGTTATTGTATTGTTCATCTCTGTTTGTTTATTTCGGTTATTGTATTGTTCATCTCTGTTTGTTTGTTCTTTATATCTTCTAGCTCTTGTATCTTCTCGGTCTGTGCCTCCATTCTTTTTCTGAGATCTCGGATCATCTTTACTATTACTCTGAATTCTTTTTCAGGTAGATTGCCTGTCTCCACTTCACTTAGTTCTTCTGGGGTTTTATCTTGTTCCTTCATCTGGAACATTGTCCTCTGCCATCTCATTTTGTCTAACTTTCTGTGTTTGAGGTCCCACAGGCTGCAGGATTGTAGTTCCTCTTGCTTCTGGTGTCTGCCCCCTAGTGGATGAGACTGGTCTAAGAGGCTTGTGCAGGCTTCTTAGTGAGAAGGACTGGTGCCTGCCCACTGGTAGGTGGAGCTGGGTCTTGTCCCTCTGGTGGGCAGGACCGTGTCAAGGGATGTGTTTAGAGGCGGCTGTGAGCTCAGGAAGACTTAAGCAGCCTGTCTGCCTGTGTTCCTGTCCTGTTGGTTTTTTGGCCTGGGGCGTCCCAGCACTGGAGCCTAAGGGCTGTTGGGTGGGGCCAGGTCTTGGCATCAAAGTGGCAGCCTTTAGGGCAGCTCACCCCAGTGAGTACTCCCCAGTGTCTCCGCCACCGGTGTCCTTGTCCCCATAGTGAGCCACAGCCACCCCCACCTCCCAAGGAGATCCTCCAAGTCCAGCAGGTAGGTCTGATCCTGGCTCATATGAAGTCACTGCTTTTTCCCCTGGGTTCCCATGCACACAAGACCTTGTGTGTGCCCTCCAAGAGTGGAGTTTCTGTTTCCCCCAGTACTGGGGAGTTCCTGTGATCAAGCCCTGCTGGCCTTAAAAGCCAAATGCTCTGGGGGCTCCTCCTCTCAATGCCAGACTCCCAGACTGGGGAGCCTGACGTGGGGCTCAGAACTTTCACTCCTGTGGGAGAACCTCTGTGATATAAATATTTTCCAGTTTGTGGGTCACCCACTCAACACTTACGGGATTTGTTTGTATCACAAATGCATCCCTCCTACTGTCTTGTTGTGACTTCTTCTTTGGAAGTAGCATATCTTTTTTGGTAAGTTCCAGTCTTTTTTGTTGATGGTTTTTCAGCCATTAGTTGTGATTTTGGTGTTTTCACGAGAGGAAAGGTGAGCTCAGGTCCTTCTACTCCCCGATCTTGTCCTGGAACCAAGTCCATTTAAATTTGATTTGAATTTCACTTACAGCATTATGCTTTCCATTTCTCTGCTGTACTGTATCTTTGTTGGCCAATTTCTTCTTCTAATTGTCTGTTTTTGTAAAATATCACATAGGTTTTTACTGGGAAATAAGGAGGCAGCATAACTACATGCTTTGCTGTCTGTGCATGAACTGAATAACAGATATGCAGTGACCAATCACTGATAAACTTTGAAAGAAGTGACATGACTGGTCATTGATCATGATATGTGGCTGTTATTTGTATAGTAATTTGTGGACTGAAGAGCTAGTAGCAATGTTTGCACTTTATGCAGTTACTCACAGTTAGTGATGTAACATGGTAACTGAAATGTCCACTGTGTTGTTGGGGGTCTGGTGTCCAGGGTTAGCTAAACCATGGTATCTGAGATTTGTGCATTTTGAAACTGTGCAAAACAGGACTTCCCGAATTTAAATTTGCTTATATTAAGTTATTTACTCCATGGTCATCTACAACTTCCTTGGTACTCGTTTGGTTATTAAAAAAACTATGATGTGTCTTTTTCTTTCCTAATTTGTATTTATTCTCACCTGCCTAACCTTCACAGGCTCTTTCAGGCTACTTGATATATTTCTAACTTAATAGTCTGATCCAACCCAATGAAGGCATCTACAACATATGAAGTAAAATATCCACAGTAATAACAATTTACATAGGACTTGGACTTTGCTGTGGGCAACACTTTTAATTATGCACTCATTTCATTTCATCAATAATGCTCTTTAAATTACATTCTCCTTTCATTTTCTTAGCATTTTGTCATATTGGGATGGAAGGGAGGGAGTTAAGGAGGTATCATTATCCTTATTTTACAAATAAGAAAACTGAGGTTGTATCCAAAGTTACATATACTGCATTGTAACTAAGAAATCTGGAACTTGAGCTCAGACCAAATATTTCTCTTACTTTCTTTTGCTGCTTCATGCTGGGGCATTGTCACATCCAAATGAAGTTGTCATGGCCTTCCAACAGGAATAATTAAATTGGTGTTAACTTCTTCCCTTTTTTACCTAAGTAGAGAAAAAAAAATATGTAGGAAACTGGATTTCATTAAAGTAGATTGGGAGTTTGCCAGCATTTTGAGCTTTGGAAAAGATGAGTCTTGATTTAAATTCCCAAGGAAAGTGTTTAGTAAGAATTAATAATAAAAATATTGTAATTCTAATTCTAGAAATTTTTAATTCTAAAATTCAAATTCAGATTTTAGTTTCTTATATATTAAGGAAAAGCATGTCCCCCGAAACATTTGCTAAAGAAAAGCGTATTAACTAAGGTTCTAAAATAGCGTATAGTAGCTGTCCTTAGTTTTTCATCCTTGGTTTTTTAGGAACTCTTTATTGATTTAAAAAATGCTTTGCTTCTCATTTATTTAGAAGTACCTAACCATGATATATAAGAGGCCAAAATGGGACTCATAGGTTTTTTTGAATAGTAATCTTGATAGTTCTTTCATTCATGTTTTGTTTCTCTCCTTCAGGTAGCTAATTATGGAGTTGGAGGACAGTATGAACCCCATTTTGATTTTGCACGGGTAAGTAAAAAAAAAAAAAAGGCGAATGAAGGAGTTCCACTGAAGCTTAGGCATGACATGTTAATTCTGTTCTTTTAGTATTAAAAATTCATAGCTGGGCTTCCCTGGTGGCACAGTGGTTGAGAATCTGCCTGCTAATGCAGGGGACACGGGTTTGAGTCCTGGTCTGGGAGGATCCCACATGCCGCGGAGCAACTAGGCCCGTGAGCCACAACTACTGAGCCTGCGCCTCTGGAGCTTGTGCTCCGCAACAAGAGAGGCTGCGATAGTGAGAGGCCCGCGCACCGCGATGAAGAGTGGCCCCCGCTTGCCACAACTAGAGAAAGCCCTCGCACAGAAACGAAGACCCAACACAGCAAAAATAAATAAATTAATAAACTCCTACCCCCAACATCTTCTTTAAAAAAAAAAAATTCATAGCTTATTTGGAATTTGTGGAAGCATGGTGGAATAGATATTCTGTAAAGCCTTTTAAAGCAGTAAAAAAATACCTAGAGACAGGGTAAAAGAACTTAGCATACTTTTAAATGCATTGCTGAGCTTTGAAGAAAGTAAAGGAAATTCTCAAAGGCAAACTGAACAGAGAAAACCTAGAGACTAAAATTAGAGTGTTTAAAGGGAGCAAAAAAGCTGAGGCTGGAGGCATGTACCTCCAGGAATCTAGAGCTTTGGGGATTAATAGCTCTGTGAGAGGACCTGCTATAGTGTAGGCTACTGAACTGAGATACCTGCATAAAACCTAAATCTCCAAAAGGATTACACCTTCAGAGAAAGAAAGAATGGCCTAGAAAATCATCTGCTTTGAGTCAAGACCCTTCAAAAGAGTTTCCTCTCACATCCTAGCTGGAGTATGATGTGTTATGGGGAGCTTTTTCTGGCAGTTTGAAAGCAGAGGCCTGCCAACAGATACAGATGCCCCCAGGATGTTAGATACTTCAGTTATCAGATACAGAATATAAAAAAACTATATAGGTCCAGTCTAGCCTCCTCTGGGAGCGGGCAGTTGGCGAGCCCACGCTAACCTGTGCAACTCTGTCCTGATCCCCGAGTTCTCACACGGTGCCCAGACAGATCAGATCGAAGCCATGGCCATTCTTTTCGCTGTTGCCAGGGGAACCACTATCCTTGCCAGACATGCTTGGTGTGGAGGCAACTTCCTTGAGGTGACAGAGCAGATTCTGGCTAAGATACCTTCTGAAAATAACAAGCTAACGTACTTACATGGCAATTATTTGTTTCATTACATCTGCCAAGACAGAATTGTATATCTTTGTATCACTGATGATGATTTTGAGCGTTCCCGAGCCTTTAATTTTCTAAATGAGATAAAAAAGAGGTTCCAGACCACGAACGGTTCAAGAGCACAAACAGCGCTTCCGTATGCCGTGAATAGTGAGTTCTCAAGCATCTTGGCTGCACAGCCGAAGCATCACTCCGAGAATAAGGGCCTAGATAAAGTGATGGAGACTCAAGCCCAAGTGGATGAACTTAAAGGAATCATGGTCAGAAACATAGATCTGGTGGCTCAGCAAGGCAAAAGATTGGAATTATTGATAGATAAAACAGAAAATCTCATGGATTCGTCTGTCACCTTCGAAACAACCAACAGAAATCTTGCCCGAGCCATGTGTGTGAAGAATCTCAAGCTCACCATCATCATCATCATCTTATCAGTCATATTCATCTATATTATTGTGTCACCTCTCTGTGGTGGATTTACATGGCCAAGCTGTGTGAAGAAATAAAGTTATCATTAACCAAGGATACGAGAGAACAGGGAGTTAAAAGCAATCTGTTTGATTCAGGCCTTTTAATACTGACAGATGGTGTCTGCCAGTCTTTTCAACCCTCTTCTTTCTCTCTTTTGTTTTAATATTGTTCTATGCCTCCAGATTTATCTTTGTCCTATCAACCAGTTTATTCCAGTGCACTTCAGACCGAACCATTTATTGCAGCAGTAGCCTTAAAAAGGCATTTTGTTTCTTTGGTTTGTAAACTAGTGTCATCTACTTATAGATACATTTTTGTTTGTAATTGCACAAAGCTATCACAGCTAGAAACCACCTGTCTTATGAGCTGTCTACTGAAATTATGGATGACCTTTGTGCACACAAAAGTTCAAGAGACAGATAGTATTGCTAACATCTCATCTTAATGTCCTTTGATTTTGAAGGGTTTTAAGTGCTTGGAAACAATATACATGGAGAATTGTTGTTATTTTGGGAATTGTAATTAATTGTTGGTGTTTCTAGGAGCCCAAGCAGGTAAAGTATTAAACATTTTATCTCAGTGAGATGGGGAACGTTTTGCTAGCCTCTTAGAAGCAAACAGAATTATCCTTGTCTGCCTATTATTAACTTTTAGGAAGAAAGTTTTCATTCACAAACCTCGCAGAGCTTGATATCCTCTGTTTCCCCATTGCAGTTGATTTAAGAAGACAGTGGTTTAAATATTGTCGAAGGTTGTGGTTTTTTACATATTCCTTTTTCTTTGGTGGATATTTAGGGCAATTGTATAGATAATAGAATGGGTAGTGGACGGAATGGGGAGGCACATTCCTCTGGCTCACCAAAGAAAAAGAAGAGAACCACAGTGGAAAAGCCCAAACTGAATATAGTCAGCAATCAACTCCAGGATTTGGGTTTGACTGGTGTTGAATAATAGTTTGAGCATCCTTTGCGGTTTAGTAAGTTCTTTAATCTGCCTAGTTTTGAAGAATTCTTTTGTGAAACTTGAGAGTAGACAGTATGATACATGAAAGAATGCAAGACATTTTAGCTAACATCCATGTAACTGCAGCGTGAAAAAACTGGAGCGTAATCATACTGCTTTGGCTACTCTGGCATCTGTTAGCTAGTGTGTACTTTTAGTGCGTATCTGAAAGGACAATATTTGCTGCCCTAGATCTAATTGCACTTACTTATCAATAAATGCCAGTAAATGGACATTATATTACATTTGACTATTTTCCCAATGAAAGAACAAATTGGTCTGTAAAACCTAGTCACCTGTTTAGCCTAGTCTTGTGCCTTGAATATTTATATGTGTCACATAATCTGGCACCTGCAACCTGTTCTTCCATCTGTACCATTCAATTCATGCTGGTTCATTTATTTGACATATATTTTCAACCCCCTGGAACTCTTTTCCTGGTGATCATGTATAGTGCAAATGTTTTTTCAGTCCTCTTTATCAACACTAATGCCTTTTAATTACATCAGCATTTCCTGTTGGAAAACACATTTGTTCCATGAAAACATTTGGCATTCCTTAATAATAATTTCCAAATGTCTTTAATCCCAAGACTTAAAGCTTATTTCCCTTTCTTACACACACGTGAATAAAAATGATGTGCATGTTTTAGGGATAAATTACTTAACCATCTCTTGATCTATTTATGTATAAGAATTCTTTTTAAAGCACATACCTTCCTTGTTTTAAATGATGCACAAACTGAAGGCATTAATAATATTTAAGAGTAATAGAAAAAAATAACTAATACTTTAAAAATAAAAGAGGATAAAAATTACTGAATTCTCAAAATGATTTAACATATTTGAAAAATAAACAGAAGCTTTAGGTCAAAAAATTGTTGAAATTTAAAATTTAGTGTATAAGTTAAACAGATTAGAGACAGCTGCAGTGAATTGGGCAATAAATCTGAAGAAATTACAGGAATACATTTTGAAAGACAGGAAGATAAAAAACATAAAATAGATGCAGAGGCTGGAGAATAAATAATATTAAAGCAGTTTGTTAAAAAGTTGTTCTTGCCCAAGTACTCTTGCTTAAGATCAATAAATATTTAACCTTTTAAATTAAAAAGTTAAGTAATTTTAACATATCAAGCTATAAATTGTCATTACCAAATCTTAATTTAAGATTTATCATAATTACATGAATTCTAAGGAATGTGCCAAGTGTTCTAATAAACTTCTTGATCTATTACCATTTTTTAATAAGAGTGTATTCTTTGGAAAGAAAACAGTCTGTATTGTATTACATTCCTTGACTGGTTTAATCCCAGAATCCTAGACTCTTTCTTTGGGCAGGCTAGCAAAGAATATATTTTTAGTCTCTTTTCCATCTGTTTTCAATTATTGAAAAATGTCTGAGGATCTTGGATGATGTGAAAGACTACAGTTCAAGTCCTCACATTAATGTAACTAAATTTTTTTTCATAGCTTTTTATTTTGAAATAATTACAGATTCCTAGGAAGTTTCCCCCCAAATATACAGGGAGATCCCATGCACCCTTCACTCAACCGCCTTCAGTGTTAACGTCTTGCATAACTGTAGTACACTATCAAAACCAGGAAATTGGTGTTGGCACAAGCAACAGAGCTTATTCATATTTCACCAGTTATGCTCGCACTCATGTCTGTCTGTCTATACAGTTTTATTACATGGGTAGCTTTATGTAACTACCACCACAATAAAGATACATAACCTCACCATCACTGTAAGACTCCCTTGCGGTACTGCTCTGTAGCTACATATACCCTTCTGCCTCCCATCCATAACTGCTGGTAACCACTAATCTGTTCTTCACTAAAATTATTTTGCAAATGTTATGTAAATATTACATACGGCATGTATCCTTTTAAGATTGTCTCTTTTCACTCAGCATAATTCCCTTGAGGTTCATCCATGTTTTTGCAGAACATATCAACAGGGTGTTCCTTTTTTTTGCTGCATAGTATCCTGTGGTACAGGTATACGACAGTTTTAGTCATTCATCCTTTGAAGGACATTAACGGACAATTTGAGGATATGACAAATTGATGTGTGTAAATTTCTGTGTGAAGAATACATGATTTTCATTTTTCTGGGAAAATGCCAAGAGACTATACTGTATTTTAATTTAGCTTTAAATAGCCAGACGTGAATTCTCCAGCCAGATTAAAGTGCTGACAGCCCAAAAGACAGCCAAGAATAGTAGCAGTGACATTTGAATGGATCATGAGTTCAAAGTAAATCTCAAGGTAAATTTTTTTTTACCCACAGAGAATTGACTTAATGAATGTAGCTGAGAGACTCTCATGTCTTGCTTTTTTGGAAGCTAAAACTATAGGTGTCAATTTTTAAAATAATCTGTGGATAGTAGATATTGGTTCTCATTATATAGGCTAACAAATCTGTTTTTTCCCCCTGAATGGTCTTATCAAAAGTATTCAGTGTACTGGTTGAATCAACAACCAACAAATATCTGAATGCCTGTTGTATATATGGTGCATTGGACATTATAAAGGAACCTTTAGGGGCTGTTTTTAGCATACTATTCAGCATATTAATGATGTTAGTTGCCATTGGAGAATTTGCATTACTGAATTTTATACCACTGAGTTGTGTTTTATTCACAGAAAGATGAGCCAGATGCTTTCAAAGAGCTGGGGACAGGAAATAGAATTGCTACATGGCTGTTTTATGTAAGTTATAGCTAAAATTTTTAAGTTGGGATTTGATCACATAACTCATTTATTTTGATGTGTTCACATGTTCTGTTTAGCTCTTAACATCCTAGTTTAATGTTTTTTTACAACTGAGTAAAGAATTTTTTCTTTGCATTTATAACTTTTTCAGATTGTACTTATTACAACCTGAAGAAGAAAGTTAAAATTACACCTAGTTCCAGTATTTGGAGGCAATGTGATATTTTGGAGTATGGACTGTCATCTATAGTCATCTATAATGTGTATATAAGCAACTCTATGTATTTGTAGGAATTTATGTGTATATATACACATTATCTTAATAAACTTTTTGAATTTATTGATAAATATATCAGAAAAGTGTACAAATCATAAATATATAACTTGATAAATTTTCACAAAGTGAACACTAGCATAGTCAGCACCCAGATCAAGAAATAGTACATTAGAGCACGCGAGAAGCCCTTTCCTCAAGGGTAACCATTCTCCCATTGTTCATTAGTTTCAAAACAGTATGATCTTCATTTTTTTAAATTGTTTGTTTATATATTCATACATAAAGCTTTGATCATTTGCCCCAGTTATCTATTGCTGCATAACAAATCACCCCAAAACTGAATGGTTTAAAGTAACGTTTGATTCTTACCTTTCATGGTTGTGAGGTTGATTGGGCTTCATTTATGGTTCTTGCTCCGGATCTCTCATGCATTTGCAATCAGATAATGGCTGGCACTGGGGTCACCTTAAAGGCTGAGGTTGAGGCTGGTTGTTGGCCAGAATACCAGCATGTGGACTGGGCTTCCTCATAGCATGAGGCTGAATTCTAAGAGCAAGTATCCCCCAAAAGGCAGTACATAACTTTTTTTTCCTTTTGGCTGCGTTGGGTCTTCGTTGCTGCACGCGGGCTTTCTCTAGTTGCGGCGAGTGGGAGCTATTCTTCATTGCAGTGTGCAGGCTTCTCATTGCGGTGGCTTCTCGTTGCGGAGCACAGGCTCTAGGTACACAGGCTTCAGTAGTTGTGGCTTGTGGCTCTAGAGCACAGGCTCAGTAGTTGTGGCACACAGGTCGCTGCAACTAGGGAAGGCCCACACGCAGCAACAAAGACCCATTGCAGCCAAAAATAAATACATAAAGTAAATAAATTTTTAAAAAAAAGCAAAGAAATACAAGAAAATTGATGCTATGTTATTTGGTCCAATATCCATAAATGTTAGATTATTTGTGACTATCAGACTATATATTAGATAATTATATCCCCTTTTAGTTATATATAGCATTTTTATTAGATTAGTATTCATTTTTTTCATTATTTGAATGCTTTTCTCAGATGGGCCACATAGCACAACTTTTAAATTCCTCTGAAGTTAATTTTTTCATTGCTTAAGAGCTATTAGCTCTTTGATATCGATTATATATTTATCATGGTAAAATACACTTCTTTATATCACTGAATGCCTTTAGCGTTAAACTGTGCTTGATACTAAGATCAAACTCTTCTTTGGTACAGCATCTGCCTATAAATCACTTGTTTTAGATGTGACTCTTGAATATAGCATATAGTTGGATTTTGCTTTGTGACACATGAGTCTGACTCTACATTCTACTTACGTTGTTTTTGAAAAAAATCTTCACTATATGATCTGTTTCCTTTGCCTCATTTTATGCATGTGCTTCTTCAGTTAATTTGGAAGGTTTGTGTTTTTATTCTAATTCACCATTAAGAATATAACTTTATAAATCTTTTCATCTTCTAATTTTTAGTTAATATGTGTTGATACCCTACCATGAGAAATGACAAAACTGGTTTTAGTTTATTACTTTTCTCTTGGTGTTTAGTTCTATTTTGTTTGAATTCACTTATTTAAATATTTATTGAATACCTACTGTTTTGAGGCTATTCTCAGCAATAAACAAAACATGAAAATTCCTGCCCCCATGGAGATGATATTCTAGTGCTATAGAATACGTATTTATACCCCATGTTACTTGATTTGTCAGTTTTAAATCATCTCTTTTTACCTCTGGCTATAAAAGAAATAGCTATCCCAAAGTATATCCCAGTCTCCCTTGCTGACTTCCATCTTTCCTCTGCTTTTATATATCTATGTAAACCTAAATAGCATCTTGTTTTTTAAAAACTGACTAGCATGCACAAACCCATTTATGTAAGTAGAAGTCCAGATATTCTCATTCTAGTATTTAGTATCAAATCTACCTCACAGTGGCATGTTTAACTTTATTCTACCAGCACTTTCGATAATACTCTCATCTCTTATTAGATGAGTGATGTGTCAGCAGGAGGAGCCACTGTTTTTCCTGAAGTAGGAGCTAGTGTTTGGCCCAAAAAGGTAAGCTTAGCTTGTTATTTTAATTTGGGGGGGGGGGGGGTCCTCTGTATTTTTTTCCCTGAGGAATATATACACCTATATTTCATAGTCTAAGTAGTAAATAACATTTTTAAAGGTAGTATACTTAAGGACTACATTATGTCTAGGGAAGATTTTAGATATTGTACAGTTTACCGTGAGTACCTAGAGGTATGAACAACCAGGGATTAGTATTTAGAAGTTTTCATTTCTAAAATGGGTTCCGTATGATACTTGCTATTGTAAGATGTGTTAGCTTTGGCAAATACACTTTTTTGTTAAGTAATGCTGTTTCACATGCTTTCATGTGATCACCAAAATTTTGTACATTGTATGATACTTTCAGAACTATATTAGAGGAAGATATAGTGCTGCCATAGAGAATTATTTCCATAGAACAGAGGAAAATTTAGTTACTATAAAAAGCAATAACCTGATACTTTATTTGGGGATAATTTTGTATTGTTTTCCACAGGGAACTGCTGTTTTCTGGTATAATCTGTTTGCCAGTGGAGAAGGAGATTATAGTACACGGCATGCAGCCTGTCCAGTGCTGGTTGGAAACAAATGGGGTAAATAGTTCCTATATTCTCTGAATAGAATTTGTGGTTTTTGTCTCTTATTTAAAAATTATTATAATTTACATCTTAAAAGAAAGTGAAAAAAAACTCCTGACAGATTTGCCTAATACGACTTTAACACTGAAAGGGAGTCAACCAAGCAAGTTTCTTATCTTAATATAAATTTGCTTTCAACAGATCAGATTTTTTATGACATTTTTAACACTATTTCCACTCATTATTTAAGAAACGTTAATTGACTCAAAGTTGAATCTTCCTCTCATGGGGTTCACAGTTGTCTCTTGTAGTAGATACTAATACAAAGATATAAACAGAAGACAGTAACTACTTACATTTAGGGAGGCTTCTTCGAAGTTTAATTAATTTTTATATTTAGTCTTGAAGATAGAGCAGTAGTTTTCCAGGCACGTTACGGACCAGGGCCAGGAATCATATGAAGCTAGAGAGGTACTCTCAGGTTCATGCAAGTATAGGACTGGTGACATTAAAAAAAAAAAAAAAAGAAAAAGAAATAGAAATGGGTGAACTTATTTTTATATAGATTTATTTAACCCCATGTATCTATTTCCGTATGTGTCACTTGGCCACATTCCACACTTGAAGTGCTTAGTAGCTACATGTGTCTAGAGGCTACCGTATTGGACATAGCAAGATTAAGGAGTGATACCTGATCATCAGGATTTAAAAGAACTCCCCTGATGATAACTAATGTTTGAGAACCACTGGACTAGAATGAAGAGAGGCTAGTGGAGGAGAGATGAGTTTAGAAGGCTGTTTTCTGTTGTCTAAATGGGTGATGATAAAAGCCTGGACTAAGGCAGCAGCAAAAGGTTTGGAGAGCAAAGAATAGATTGAAGAGATCATAGAAGTAAAATCAACAGGGTTTGATGAATAAAAGATTGGATACACAGGTTAAGAAAGGAAACAAAGTAGTTAAGAATTAATGAGTACTAGTTTAAATATCTTATACATGTTGATGCCATTGATTGGGTTCTATGATATACGAGGAGGAGAAAGAAATTAATTCCTTTGGGGGTATATTAAAAAACAGTATCTTGGAACAAAGGAAACTTGATGAGCACATAATACGAGAGATTAATCATAGAGTTGTGTTCATTTTTAAAATGTCTTTGTATTAGAAGTGGTATTTTGCAAACAGGTAAAACAGTGTTTTGTTCTGTCTGTACCTACATCTCAAGTCTTACATTGAACATTAGAAACTTTAGGAAATACACATGCACAGATTCTCAAATGTACATACATATATATAAAATCTTTTTTATTTCCAGCATTTAGTGAAGTTCTTAAAAAGACAGCCTAAATAGCATCTGTCTTTGTCTGGTTTTGGTCTTGAACTTTTTTAGCCCATGTAGAAACTTCATTATAGTCCTAGCTCCTAGGAGTTAATTAAATACTAGTTAGAAAGAGGGAAGAGATATGGGAACATATGTATATGTATAACCGATTCACTTTGTTATAAAGCAGAAACTAACACACCACTGTAAAGCAATTATACCCCAATAAAGATGTTAAAAAAATACTGGTTAGATAGTGGGGGACATTAATATATTATTTTCTTTCACAGTATCCAATAAATGGCTCCATGAACGTGGACAGGAATTTCGAAGACCATGCACCTTGTCGGAATTAGAATGACAAACAGACTTCCCTTTCTCTCCTGTTGTACTCTGATGTGTCTGATACACACATTTCCTAGTCTTAACTTTGAAGAGTTTACAGTTGACTAACACTCCATGATTGATTCAGTCATGAACCTCATCCTATGTTTCATCTGTGGACAATCGCTAACTTTGTGGGGGTTTTTTTTTCTTTTAAAAGTAACACTTAAAACACCACATTTTACATATGAAACCTTAAAGTTCAGTTGGTATCACAGAGGACAAAGCAAGGCAGGGTAAAAAATGAGGAATTTTTACATTTATGGTATATTTTAAAGAACTTTTTTTGGTTGGATAAAAAATACAATTTAGGCATCTGATTATAGTATTTCAGTACATCTCAGTTGATGGGTGGTAGGCTAGAATGGTCCGTGTGATTAAGGAACAGATGCCGTATAGTATGGACCTAGGTATTATGTTTACCTAGTCTCAACAACTCCCTTCTGGATCTGCCTGAAGACTAGGAATAAATTAGCCCTGTAAAGTGGGTTCCATACAATGTTTGCCCCTCCATATGCTATTCTAATTTGATTTTTTTTCTCCCAAGTCATTTTTAAAGTATGCTTTATTTTACCAAACCCCTTCTTTCATAGCTCCTCTGTGGTGAATTAAATCTGAGTTACAATACTTTGATTAAAAAAAAATGTTTAACAGAAGGTCCTACATTAAAAGATTGGCCCTTCTTAACTAAAATGATCATGACTTGGTCTGTTTCTTGTTTTTCTTAAATGACTGATGATTTTGTCCAAAAAATTTTGCTGTTTTTCTTAGTGCTAATTCCTTGCCTCTTATTTCAGCTACCTACAGCAGGGGATGATGATGTTGGCATTCGGATTAAAAAAATATCGTGCCTTAGGAGACTGGAAATTTAAAAATGTACAAGTCCTTTCAATGATGAGGGAATTGATATAAAAGGAGTTTTTCCTAAAAAGCCAAAATGTTTGTTTTTTCAATTCTGAAATGTGTTGTGACAACAGTGACCTATTTATGATCTTAAATCTTTTTTAAATGTTTCCGTTTTCTGTGTGGTATTTTTCGTATTTAAATGTGAGTGTGTGCTATAGCAATAACAGGTTATTTCTTTAGAATTAGGACTTAGGTTTATCCTCCTGATTTTCATTCACTCTAAAGTCACATTGTTATGGTAGAAAATTAAGGCTCTTTGAACTTTCAGATATTTAATCAATCAAAATATGTTACCTTCAAAGGGAGCTCTACAACTTTATTACTATGGTTATGGAGTTTTTACAGTAATGCTACTTAAGATTTTCTGTTGTTCAAATACATGGTATGGTAGTAGAAAGCTCTGAACCTAATGAAGTATGTTAATTGACCCTTTAACCTTTATATTTCTTATGGTGAATCATAGTTCACATAAGGGCTCTTTATCCTTTATGCAGTATTTAAATAAGGAAGAATTTGGTTAATTCTCTGGGAAAGAGGGTATTACTTTACCATTTTTTAAAAAAAGTGAACTGTGAACTTTATTTCTCTGAACTATCCTTTGTTCCACCACAAGTATTTTAGTAAGAAATATTGAGAATTAAATTCATTAATCTAATCAGATTTTGTGACCACAGATTTTTTAAAAATCTTTTTTAGATGGAAGCAATGTAAATTCAAAATTTAAGAAATAAAATGGGTGTTCAAAGAAAGGATACTAATCCTTAATTGCCACATGTTTTAGAAAGTAGAATAAAAAATATCTATTTCACAAGGAAACAACATATTCCATAATCTTACAAATTTCATTATATTCAACCCCAAACCCCACACAGGGATTGGTAAACTCTTGTCAGTGTTAGGTCTTACAGAACCCTCCCAAGTTTCATAATTACCAACTATTTTTCTTTCCAAATGAAAAGGAGAAAAAAAATTCCAGTATAAAACTTTGCAATCCTTTTTTTTTTATGCTGAACTTTAAAATAAATGAGGGCTAGAGCTATCATGGAAAATGTGCAAACTGTGGTTTCCTCACCAACCCTAAGTGTCCATCCTTTAAGGTTGGAAGTTTCATCATTCATTAACTTTAACCATGTGTTATCACCAGTATCACCAAGTTAACTGAAGTATCCACCAGAACACTCAATCAGCAGGGTAAGTAAATGTCATAACTATGTAATAACCTAGTAGGATTATTTAAAAAAATAATGAAGTTACTTCAAGATTCTTCAGAAAGCTAGATGGTAAATGCAGTAATGAAAGACACAACCAACCATGAACTTTGGTGAATTTATAATAAAATGGTTACTACAATATAAAAGGATTGAGAAGAGTTGTTGTAAGCAGTAAACACACACACATATAATACCTTATATATGTGTGATATAAAAATATAATACCTTATATGTGTGTGTATATAAGATATATATTATTGCTGCTGAGAAGAATCTAAATATCCTTACAGACTCATGTGTTGCTGGTTATATGTAAATTCCATGCCAGGTTTCCACTTAAGTCCATATAGCTGAAAAATGAACAACCCATGTGTAGGGCCTAATGAGCTAAACAATTGAATGACTAGATGGCTGCCATTAAGAAACAGTGTAATACCAAAATAACAACAACAACAACAACAAATACCCAATCATGATTAAATAACTAAATCACTTGAGAAGGAATAAACAGAATTATGAAATGGAGATTGCTAGGAGAAAGCAGAAAGAAAAATAACGTCTTAGTCTGGATGCCCAGCAGCACAAGAACCAATCCCTTCTCTTGGCAGCGCTTACTTCACTGGGGTAAAAGTTTGTTATTTAGCAGGAGCAGTATTGGGTAACTTAGAGAAATAAGAATGAACTGTCAGCACTAGAGAGTACTGTTTATTAAATTATCAGATTTATCAGAATGAGATAGATTTCATATTCCAATTTCCTAATGTCCTTGGATGATATTCTACCACACTAATGAGTTTTGCAAAAGTAACTATAGTAGAACAGTAAATTTCTTGGCTGCCTGCTTTATTGACTTTTATTTGAGGACTTTGAAGTTTACTTTCTGTGTGAACGTAGCCTTCAATTAAATACACGTTTTGATGCAGGAAGACTAATTTGTAAAAAAAAATTAATAGGCAGTCTTATCAAATGTAAAAGTTTAAATAAAAGGAACCACTGAAAAGGAGTGCTAGTCTCTATATTCTGCTTTTTGAGGCCTTGTTGAATTCCCATTGCAGCACTGTTGTATTGAAGTCAGTTGTACAAAACAAGATAAACACAGATAAAATGAGCTCTAAAATCTGAAAAAAGAAAATCCTTAAATCTTGTCATTTGGTTGTTCCAATTCCTAACAGCCTGGCTTATAATACAAATCTGTTTTAGGCTAAACACTTTAAAAGATTCAGAATAGAACATTTTAAAGAGAATATGTAGAGTGATGTACACTTTGACGTTTCATGGCTTTTTAGGGAGATGAATTTTAGCTTTAGTCAATTTCTTCTAGAAAAGGCATTCACTTATTTAAGTCTACAAAGAGCAAAAATTATTATTTTAATATCTACCTTAAAGTCATGAATGTAATTAAGCTCCACTGCAATGTAGGTTTTACATGGGTTTGGAAATATCATGGGTTAAATCATACTATGTAAATAACCTTACAGTTGTTAACTCTTAGAAGATGAAATAATTAAATTCACCTATAAAGTAAGTTATGTTCTATTTTTACTTTACATTTAAAAGGCACAAAAGTTAAGGCTCTGTAACATGAAACACCTTTCAGATTTTTATCTATTTTACTTCTGCAACTATAGGAAAATAGTCTATGGAAAAGTTGAAGTAAGGCAATAATTAAAAGTGCTCTGAAACAGTCCTACTTAGAGTGCAAAAGAGTTGCCATGGGGTTTGTTACTGTTCCACAATGAGATAAGGAGATTACATCAAAATGTAAATACAGTACATCAATAACTACATGGTATTGTTCAGTTGACTTTTTTCATAGCAAGATTTTCAAGATGAAGAAAGCAATGTGTTATTTACATTGTGGTACAAGCTCCTTGTATCTCAGTGAGAACCAGCTTTAAATAGCATTGCTCTAGAACAGTACAAATTTTGTTTGATTCTACATTTTTAACAGCACTAAAGAGTTTCATATCTGTGGTTTGGATCTTGGTGGGGTAGTGGGAGCAGACTTCTTATGTCATGGCATAATGGGAAAAACAATTCAGAATAATTAATTAGCTTAGCGTATAATGTATCAAGGAATCAACATACTATCCTTACGGTGATAGATTTGGATCAACATTTCCTCTAGTTCTAAGACCACTTAAACTTAATGTGACTTATTCTTGTTGGTATAAGACATATTTAAGAACATTGGTTCTAGAGGAAGCTAGTGGACTAGGAAGCTCCAGACCTTTGTTCCCCCATGGAAACATGAAACCAGCAACTAGAGCCTGGATGAAATAACTTTATAGAGGTCTGGAAAACAGCCAAAGGTTTAAATTAACCAAGTGAAAGCCAAGTTAAGAAAAAGCCATGTTCAAAGTGGTAGGAAATTTCACAGTGTTTTTAGTTAACCTTGCCTCACCCCAAACCTGGTACAGCACAGGTGGGAGGAAGTAGCTGCCCCATTCCCAGTTCTTACCTTTAACCAGAAGGAGCAGAGCAGATCTTGTTTGTAACCTTTTAATCTGTTTGGAAGCTGTGTGAAGGACTGGTCTTTTTCACTTAATTCAGAGCTCAGAAGGAAAAGGGTATATAGCTGGGGAAAGCCCTGGGAAGCATCAGACACTGCTTGTTAAAGCTGCAGAGGAACTACAGACCTGGAGTAGCCGGATGCAAGAGATTACAGGTAGTGGAATACAATAGAAGGCCCTGAAAAGTGGCTGAGATGAGACTTCTAGGGAAAACAAGACTTTAAAAAGCAGGAATGTATATGGGGAGATGGAGAAAAGCATCAACAAGGGTCCAGGCAAGATGCATGCCAAAGAAAGACCTTGAACCCCATGCTGATCCCAAGGATTAAAATATGCTCTTCTGCAAAGACTGGGAGAGGCTACTCTTTAAAGTACCTAATTTTCAGCACCCCGCCACACACACACAAATCACAAAGCATACATAGAAACAGGAAAACATTTCTCATTTCTCCCATTCAGAAGGAGAAAATTAATTGGAAGAAACCATCCCTGAAGAAACACACTGGATGTACTAAACTAGGAGTTTAAAACACCTGTTTTAAATATGCTCAAAGAGCTGAAGGAGAACATAGACAAAGAGCTAAAAGAAGCCAGAAAATGATATATGAACAAAATAAGAATATCAACAAAAGGATAAAAAATAAATTAGTTTAAAAGAACCAACAATAATTCTAGAGCTGAAAAATAAGTGAATCGCAAAATTCACTAGAGGGGTTCAACAGCAGGTTCAAATAGGCAGAGGAATAAATCAGCAAACTTGGGGACAGGTCATTTGAAATTATCAAGTCAAGTCCAAGGAGGAGAAAGAAGAAAAGTGAACAGAGCCAAAGGGACTTACATGACACCATCAAACAGCCCAGTATATACATTATGTGAATCCCTTAAGAAGAAAATTTCTGAGAGATCATTTGAAAAAATAATGGTCAGTTATTTCCCAAATTTGTAATCATGGATTGACAAATTCCAGAAGCTTAAAGAATTCCAGGTAGGATAAACTCAGAGAAAACACTGAGACCATATTATAATCATAGTACATAGTAAATCTATTCTACAAAAATGAGGGAGAAATTAAGACATTTCCAGATAAATAAAAGCTGAGGGAGTTCATTACCACTTGACCTGCCCTGCAAGAAATGCTTCAAGTTAAAAGGACTCTGGACATTGAATGGAAATCATATGAAAATATAAATATAATAAAGGTAAATATATGGAACAACAGAAAAATCAACATTGTGACTTTGGGTTACAACTCCACTCTTTTTTCCTAGAGGATTTAGAAGACAAATGCATAAAAAATTATAAATATGTTAATGAGTACAATATATAAAGCTGAATTTGTGACTTCATTAACATAAAGGGGAGTGGATCTGTAAAGGGGTAGAG